ATCTACGGGTACCATTGGCGATGATCTATCGATGAGCGAAGGAGAATATGGTGATGAGCAGCAATGGGGAAGGAGGGAGCCTGAGATAGTTTGTCGGTGTCTTGATCATGTTAATATGTTAGGTCTGAACAAAACTACCCTCAGACTGCGGTATCTTATCAATTGGCTTGTTACCTCGCTACTTCAACTTCGATTACCTGGTTCGGATGAAAGTGCCGGAGTGCCTCTTGTGCAAATATATGGTCCTAAAATCAAATATGAAAGGGGTGCTGCTGTAGCTTTTAATGTGAGGCAGAGCAGTGGAGGACTTGTTCACCCTGAAATTGTACAGAAATTGGCTGAAAAGAATGGTATATCTCTTGGTGTTGGTATCCTTAGTCATGTTCGAATCCTGGATGGCCCTAAACAGCTCTGTGGGGCACTTGATCTTGAAGATACATCTTTGTGCAAGCCAATGGCTAATGGCCGCCAGGGCAGTAAGAATATGTTCTATAGGGTCGAGGTCGTTACAGCATCACTTGGATTTTTGACCAACTTTGAAGATGTATATAAGATGTGGGCTTTTGTTGCCAAGTTTCTTGATTCATCATTTGTTGAAGTTGAAAGGGATGAATTACCTACAGTACCAGAGGATTCGGAAACGTAACACTTGTAAAGTATATGGATGTTTTTGTCTCTGTTTTGAGGAAAATGGACCCCTACTGTTTCATTTAGCAACCTCCCCTTGAACGTGTGGTCTGTTTCTTTTGCTCCTCAGGAGATTTTTCCTTGTGGGCAGATGAATTTGTTTATTCTTCTTGTCATATCTTTTGATGTAATTTTTTTGTATTAATGGTGTTTGGTTTTATGTAGAACTTAGTTCAAAACCATTTATAATCAGCTTAGGAAGTCCTATGTAACTTGAAATAGAAGTAAAATGGTCTGAATATTTATCCTCATGGGAAAGCTTCTTCCACCATTTGCCGTATGACAAATAGGACTACGATATTAATACTTGCATTTCTTAGTTCTTCATTAATAAATTATCCATTTGGGTGCAGAAAGAAAGAGAGCAGTTTTTGTCTGCAACTTAGGGGACCTGTTTACATAGTTTGACCTCGATATATCTCCTTCAGATCCATCCACAACCATTTTCCAGTGTCTCTATTCTCTATGCCATCAACAACTTGAGGAGAGAATCCATGTACCTTGTTTTACTATGCTTTTTTGTCTGGATTTTGTTGTGTTCTAGTTCAAGGACATTGATGGTTGAAACTTGAAAGTAAAGATTGATTCTTCTTTATTATACTCGTATCCCTTGTCTGATACGTAAAATGCCATATTCTACCCTAAAAAAATAATCTAGTCTTTGAGCTTTGACGCTCTGTGTGTGTCGTGTCTCGTGTTTGTCCTGGTGACATTTAAGTCTACCATTTTTCTGCATAACAATCACATGACTCACACCTCAGCCACCACCCACCCTTCTTAAAAATTAGATTTTTGGGGTTTCTTGTCTGGCTAGGTTGATTGGTTCCATAAAATTGTTTATGAATTTTGTATTTGATTGATTCGGATGGGGTCAAGAACACTACCTTGCTGTCATTTGAAAATGGTAAATGGACCAAGACACATAAAGGAACCAAAAAAGCTTGAAAGGAAAATGCCATTAACATAGGACGACATGGTCATAACCCATAAGCTAAAAACATTCAAATAATTCATGAGTAGCAAGGTCGTTTTCGCATGGATTTTGTTTCGTGCAGTGTTTTCCAGTGCATGTGATTTTCACATCACACCAAACGCACTCAAAAATTCAAAAATACAATCAATGCCAAGAAAGCAGAAACTTATTACCAAATCTCCAAGGCAGGATCTTTCTGATACACCATATATTTTGTACCAGTCACCTGTTCAAAAGTAAAACCCTTTTAAATACACCTGAAACAGTACAAGTCAACAGCCGAAAGGGGTGCAATTGGGCCCAGCTTTGTGCAAGGCTTTATCTTTGAGTGTTAATGGGAGTAATGGGCCTCTTTCTTCATTTGGTAATCAGTGAATTAAATTAGCGGGCCCATTTTGCTGGCTTCTTTACAATTTGCCATTCCGGCGTTAGTAGCACAGAGGCAGAAGCTTCAGGCTTTTCCGACCCTTATGTCCTGCGCTCTGTACTCAAAGTACAAGCTCCGGCCAACGCCATCAATGGTGCTTCCGTCACTTCTCTGTAAGCCAATGCTACGTTGGAGAGCAGAGATTGGCCCTTTGAGGCTATGTTTATACCTTGTATTCAGCTGGTAAGGCCAAACCCCATATTTTGATTTGTAAGCCCATGCCAAACCCCATATTTTGATTTGTAAGCCCATAGAAATTATCAGTTCTTCATCTCTGTCTTTACTTTTCTTTTTCTTGTTCACTCATGTCATCAGGATTCATGGCTGTGAAATGCTCCAAGTTTTTTAAGTTTTTGGCTCCTGGGTTCAACACAAGACTTGTATGATTCTCTTCTCTT